AGGATGCTGGACCATGGTGCATCTTCTCACAGCTCCTCTGTGAGGATGCTGGACCATGGTGCATCTTCTCACAACTGTTCTGTGAGGATGCTGGACCATGCCGCATCTTCTCATAACTGCTCTGTGAGGATGCTGGACCATGCTGCATCTTCTCATAGCTCTGCTCTATAAGGATACTGAGGGCTGGAATCCACCACCCAGAAATGCCTGGCTTTAGCACACTGGGTAAATTCTGAGGACAGTTTCCACTGCACTGAAATAATGGCAGGACATTGAGAGGGAGCACAGTAGAGAGTGGAAATGCATACAACTTGTAGAGAAGACAGTTGCTCAAGACAATGAAGAAATTCCAGAAGACAATGGCGACAGCTCCTGTTTCTTTCCATTTACATTAAGAAGCAAATCCAGGCCTTGCTGGAAGCTTTTCCTAGATTCCCACTTGCTATTGGTGTCAGGTGCTGTTGAGTCGATTTTCAGCTTACAGCCACCACATGTGACAGAGTAGAACTGGCTGGTAGGGTTTTCTAGGCTGTAGCTTTACAGGAGCAGGTCACCAGGTTTTTCTCATGCGGAGCTGCTGTGTGGGTTTGAACTGCCAACCTTCTGGCTAACAGCTGAATGATTTAAACATTGTGCCACCAGGGCTCCTTTCGATTCTCAGTGCTGTTGTTAGGTGCTGTCAAGTTGGTGCCAACTCATAGTGACCCTGTGCACAGCAGAAAGAAACACTGCTCGGTTCTGTGCCATTCTCACAATCCTTGCCACGTTTGGACCCACTGTTGCAGCCAATGTGTCAATCATCAGTCCATCTTGTTGAGGGTCTTCCTCTTCTTCATGACCCTCTACTTTACTAAGCACAGTTCGGACTCATAGCAAGCCTACAGGACAGAGCAGGAGCATTCTGTAGCATTTCCAAGGCTGTAACCTTTACAGTAGCAGCCTACCATGTCTTTCTCCCACAGAGCAGCTGGTGGGCTCTACCTGCTGACCTTTCAGTTAGCAGCTGTGTGCTTAACTACTGGGCCATGAGGGCTCCATTTTGGAGGGGGAGGGTAGGGGTCTCGAAATGAAGGAACAGCTAAGGGTCAGGAATCAAAGGACCTCGCCTCCCAAGATCGAGGGAGAAGAACTAACAACCGAGTCATCATGATCCTGACACTGGGTAAAAGGAACAACAACGGTGTTCTCACCTTTATTGGGGCAAAGGAGAGGGCAGGGCACCATGATGTGCAGGCCCGTCAAAACCACACCAACTGGGAGCCAGGTAAGTCAGCAAAGGGCTATTACCGTGAGAAATGAAAATGGATGTTCAGTAGTCGCTACCTGCCTTGTTCTCTTATGCTGTCATGCCTTTTCCTGAGCTGTCCTCTTGACCTGGAATGCCCCCATCCTTCAGACCACCCACCAGGTGAACTCTTATTTCCCTTCAAAACCCAGACAAAATAACCCACTTCTGTGAAGGCAGGCAGAGGGGATCACTTTGCACTGTAAGGTCCCTGAGGGCACTTTCTCCCATCTCTGCTGCTTCTGTGTCTGGGACAGTTGCCCATGTAAAGTAACTGCTAAATTTGACTGCTAACCAGAAGGCTGGCAGTTCAAACCCACCACCAGCCACTCCTCGGAAGGAAGACTGGGCCATCTACTTCCGTAGAGGTACTGCCTCAGAAACCCAAGGAGGGGTTGCTGTGAGTCGGGATTGACTCGATGGCAGTGAGTTTGGGTTTTGTTTTTCTGTGAAGGCAGGCAGAGGGGATCACTTTGCACTGTAAGTCCCTTGAGGATAGGAATAATGTCTTTCATCTCTGCTGCTTCTGTGCCTGGGACAGTGCCTGTGGTAAAGTGACTGCTAAACAAATAACCACTAAGATAAATGGAAATAAATCATGGTGGCATGTTATAAAAATGACTTTGAAAAAGCACATGGAAAATTCTATATAGAAACAAAAGAGTTGACTGTTACCTTTGCAAATCTGCGTGATGTTTGCGAAAGCCTGGCAATATCTTGAAGATCCAGGTAAGAAATGATACTCAGGAGCAAAGCGTCTGAGAGCCGTTCAAGGTAGTCAAAGTTACCTTGGCACAAATTGAGGACATAGTCTATTATTCTCGCACCAAAGATTAAGGCCACTTGAACTGTAATTCAAAGAAACCAACAAACCAACATGGTTATCCTGTGTGGTCACTTACAAGCTATGATAGCAATCAGCAGGTCACAAGCCTTGAGGCATTTCCCCCCTGGGAGTGGTGTGCAGTTAAGCTGAGTCACTCCACCTTCCACCAAGCTGCCTGCCTCTGGGACCAATGGCAGGCCCTGGTGAGGTGCAACTTTCCGGCTGCCCTCCCTGCCCTGCCATCGGGATGAGTCAGCACAGTGCTTGACTGCATCCCCTTGATCACATTAGCACCAGGCTCCGATCTGCACCCTGACTTAACTAGCCAAACTAGCCTTTGCAGCACAGCCTATAGAGGGAAAAGGTGTTACTCACTGGTGTCTCTAGGCCCTTCCCACTCCCCAAAATGATCTGGAGCACAGTAATCCCTCCTAACAGGGAGCTCTGGTGGTGTAGTGGCTAAGGCTGCAGAAGGAAGATGGGGAAATCTACTTCTGTAATGATTTACGGCCTTGGAAACCCGGTGAGGGCCTTTATGAGTCAGATTCAACCTGATGGCAGGTGGGTCTGGTTTTTCTTTTTTGGAAAGCTCCTAACTTCTGCTGATGGTTTTTCTCTTATTTTTTAATCTGTTGTTTCCCTACCAGAGTGTCTTCCTTCCTCTTCCCCTTTGTTCGTCCCTATCTTTACACAATAGAAGACATGGGAAGAGGCAAAGGAAAGAAAACACGTGAAAATGTTTATGAAAACGGTTTTAACTTTTGCCTGATATTTTTCATATCTCTTCAGTTATTTCCAAATTAGGAAACAGTTCACAAAGAGTCGTCAAAGACCATGGCCCACCCAAGCATGGCCAACAGGGGAAGGAAACTCCCTAAAGGACCAAGATAGGATGAATAAATAGGGTAACATGTTTGGAAGGGTGCACGCTCAAATTTCACCAGTGACTGAATCTGGGTGGTGATTTTTATTTTCTTCCTTTTACTATCTATATTTGCTAATCTTCCTCCCTGCATAGGAAATTTTGCATTTTAATGTCACACAATTTCAGTACTCTTCAATCCAAGAGGAGGAAAAAAACCAACTCATCAGACAGCTGCTCCTCCAGATCCGCCATCTTCCTTCTCTGTTTGTCAGTCTTTCTACAGTAAGTCCACGTCACCAGCACACATTTTTCAAATCTTAAAAAGAGAAAAAAAAGGAAGAAAGAAGGAAGAGGGGAGAGAAAAAGAAGGATGGGGGTGGCGAGGAGGAAGACGAGAGAAAACGGAGGGGACAGGATGAAGGGAGGGAGAGGAAAGAGAAAGGACAAGGCCCCTCCTTTTAAGAGAGACCACAGCAGGCTGCTGTGTGGGGAGGTGTGTGCGCACCAGTGGTCCCAAGCCTGGGCTTCCTCAGTGTCTTGATGCTCAGGTTTCCCCTTCTCACTCTGAGAGCCCCACCACAGTCAGCTGTTATCGATTGAATTGTCTCCTCAAAAAATACATGCTGTAAATCCTAATCCCTATGCCTGGGTTATAATCCCATTGGGGAAGGGGTTGTCTTCGTTACATTAATGAAACAGTATTAGTGTAGACTGTGTGTTAAATCAATCTCCTTTCAGATATAAAAAGAGTAGATTGAGGAAGGAAGGAAGGAAGCAGAGATGAGGGAAGATAGATGCCCCGCCACGGAAATACCACCAAGGACTATTGTTGTTGTTGATGTTGTTATGTGCCAACGAGTCGGTACCAACTCATAACGACCCCTCCTTGGGTTTCCGAGGCGGTATCACTACAGAAGTAGATTGCCCAACTTTCCTTCCGAGGAGTGGCTGGTGGGTTTGAACTGCCAGCCTTCTGGTTAGCAGTCAAGTGCCTTAGGCACTATGCTACCAGAGCTCCCCAAGGACTGTTAGAATATGGAAAGCTGAAAATGCACCTAATAAGCTAGGTGATCTAGTTAAGGGGATATCCAAGCACCGTGTTGGACATGATGTCTGATTTCTTCTTGCTGCTTAAAACGAAATGTGAGAGGAGAGAGAAAAGCTAGAGGAAGGTCTTTTAAACAAAAGGAGCCAGCATTTGCTGATTTGCAGCATTCTCTGCCTCTTCAGGGGGCAAACAATGCTAAAATTAAGAAATAGCTCCTAGTCAAAGATCAAATCCAGGCACTGTAAGCAAACATGGTACAAAGACAAAGCTGAGGGCATGGCTGTACAGTGTTTCGTTAAGAACCATCTAATCAGACATTAGGACTTCTAAGAGCCTCAAGGGTATTTATTGTCACTCAGATCACTGTGCAATACATTTAGAAATAGAACACTTTCCCCAAACATTTGGGAAATTTAAACACATTTCTGAATAATTTATGTGTCAAAGATGAATATCATAAATTAGTAAATATTTAAATCTAAGTAACAACAAAAATTCTACATAAAAAATAATGTTTGGATATAGATATTGTTAGAGAAAAAGTTATTGAAATCTTATGAACAGCTTTTATACGTCATCATTTATTCGACTCATAGCGACCCCTCCTTAGGTTTCCGAGGCAGTATCACTATGGAAGTAGATTGCCCAACCTTCCTTCTGAGGAGTGGCTGGTGTCATTTAACTTTAGCTACTCTATATTCAAGAGCAAAGTTTCAGAGTCTCTTCTGACATCAATTCTGGTCTTTTCTTTCTTTCCTGTCTTTTTAATGACCTTTTGCTTTCTTCTTGTATGATGTCCTTGATGTCATCCCACAAAGTGTCTGGTCTTTGGTCATTCATGTTCAAATCTATTCTTGAGACTCTGGCTTGAATTTCTGGCAGTTTATTCTCTAAATGCAGGTGGGATAAAATTAAGGTCATATTTTGGCTTTCATGGATTTTTTAAAATTTTCTTCAGCTTCAACTTGAACTTGCATATTACTAATTTATGGTTGGTTCTTGGCAGAAAGTAGAGAAAAATGTCTCTGTTTTATTGACTATGCAAAGGTATTCAATGTGGATCACAACAAATGAAGGAAGACTTTGCGAAGAATAGGAATTCCCAACCACTTAATTGTGCTCATGTGGAATCTGTATGTAGACTAAGGAATGGTCATTCAAACAGAACAAAGGGTTACTGCCTCGTTTAAAATCAGCAGAAGTGTGTGTCAGGGTTGTATCCTTTCACCATACTTATTCAATCCATATGCTGAACAGATAATCCAAGAAGCTGGACTATGTGATGAAGAATGTGGCATCAGGATTGGAGGAAGACTCATTAACAACCTGCGATATGCAGGTGACACAACTTTGCTTGCTGAAAGTGAAGATGACTTGAAGCACTTACTGATGAACATTAAAGACTACAGTCCTCAGTATGGATTACATCCCAACACAAGACAAAATCCTCATACCTGGACCAATAAGCAGCATTATGATAAATGGAGAAGAGATTGAAGTTGTCAAGGATTTCATTTTATTGGAAATCACAATCGAAGTCCATCGATGCAGCAGCCAAGAAATCAAATGACATATTGCATTGAGCAAATCTGCTGCAAAATAACTCTTTAAAGTGTTAAAAGTGAAGACGTCTCTTTGAAGACTAAGGTGTGCCTGACCCAAGCCATGGTATTTTCAATCGCCTCATATGCATATGAAAACTGGACAATGAATGAGAAAGATTGTTTTAGAAGAGTTGAGGCCTTTGAATTATGGTGTTGGCAAAGAATACTGAGTATACCACAGACTGCTGGATGAATGTTGGGTTTGTTTTTTTGAGCTGGAAGAATGAACACATCTGTCTTGGCAGAAGTACAGCCAGAATGGTCCTTAGAAGGAAGGACATGTTAACAGGAGGGATCAGGCCCTGGGGAAGAATATCATGTCTGGTAAAGTGGAGGGTCAGCAAAAAAAAAAAAAAAAAAAAGGAAGCCCCTCAACAAAGTGGATTGACACCGTGGCTGCAACAATGGGCTCAAACATATCAACAACTGTAAGGATGGCTCAGGACCCGGCAGCTGTTTGTTCTGTTGAGTGTGGGGTCGCTATGAGAGGGAACCAACTCAGCCGCAGCTAACAGCAACAATGGTGATGACACGCGGGAAGGATGCTGAACTTATCATTAGGAACACGCTAAGTAAACACGATGCTGTTTTCACCATCTGACCCAAAGAGACTAAAGAGAGGAGGACTATCTAACGAGTGACTGCAAAGTGTAAGGAAACTCCTATACCTGTCCGATGGAGAATAATCGAATGTAGCAATTTCTGAGCATAGGAAGTGATGGGCATTTGGCGTAAGTTTTGAATTATTCAAAACTGAAATACTGTAACATCAAGATATTAATGAAGTATCGTTTTACGTACAAAAGTTGAAATCACGGAAATCACCCAGTTTAACATTATGTGAAGAATAGCCCAATTATAAAGTTGGCATAATTATAAAGGTCAAGTGAACTGGAAACAGCACCCCCATAACCTCCCATGGCAGCGCTGCTCGAACTGGTGAACAGACACTCTTGGCATCCTTTGTCAGATCAGCCTGGAAACACGCACGGCTTCAATAATTCACTACCTCAAATAAAACAGGGAGGATCTATCAACACGCATGATGCAGATACTCTGGATCCAGCAATGCCATGTCTAGGAATCTGTACTACTGACCTTGTCAGGAAGTGGGCAAAGATAAATCAGATCTAGAATACACCTAAGTGTTCGGTAAGAACAGCAACCCACTGGAAACAATCTGAAAATATCCATCAGTTGAGGATTTTATGTTTATACAATGGAATATCATATGGTCTGAAAAGAATGAGGTACTTCTTTATCTATCCTAACCCCCAATCCCCAAACCCATTGCCATCAAATTGATTCCAACTCACAGTGACTCTATAGGACACCAGGCGCTCCTAGGGAGAAAGATGGGGCAGTCTGCTTCCGTAAAGATTTAAAGCCTTGGAAACCCTGCAGGGCGGTTTAGCTCTATGCTTTAGGGTTTCTATGAGTTGGAATCAACTCGACAGCATCAGTAACAGGCAATGTTATTGATGGGTGTTGAGGACCCATCAAAA